TGGGGTCATCTTAAAAATAGATTTTGAGAAAGCATATGGTAAATTTAAGTGACCGTTCCTTTTACAAACTCTCCGCATGAAAGGGTTTTCACCTAAGTGGATAACTTGGGTGCAATCTTTCATCTTAGGCGGTGAAAGCCCTAGTTTGGTTTTGGCTAATTGATGAAACCTATTAGACTAACCCTTTGTCTAAGTGTATAGATGAGTTAGGGTGGTCCAAGTCCAAGTGGTGGAGTGAGATGGCACTCATGGTGATGGAGGTAGCCAAAGATGAAGATCAATCAGCCAAAAAAAGAAAAGCACCAGAACCATTGATCATTGAGCTTCGGGTCACGACCGTGTTACATGATGAGCAATAGCACCAGAAATTTGGGGGTCTACCGCGGTTCCTCTCACGGTCCGACAGCCAGTTTACTCTATAGCCTCGATACACTTGCTCTCCAGAACAGTATGCTCCTCCTAAATTTTTGAAAGACGGGCCGGAGTGGCTTGGCCTCAAAGAATTCGTCAATTCCACGTTCCTGCGTATGGTGTGTACCTGTTCAAACAAACAAAGGGATAAGGGCATGCTACCTACCTAAACAACTCAGAGATTGTATCTGTTGGATGGTCGGACGACGAGATTTTGAGTAGTTTTCTTCCTTACATATCATCATATCTATATTCTTTCCTTCTTTCTTCCATATCAGCATATTTGTATTCTTTCTTGATGCAGACAATTTTTGCAAGGGCAGTTGGAAATTAAAACTCAATGTTGCTTGACTTGCCCACATGAAGCTTCAAAAGTGAGTTACAAAATGATTACTAGGCTTGTACTGCATTCTTTTAAAGGTAGGATGTTTTCTTGTTGCATAATTAGTTCGATGGGTACCGCCGCATGCAAACACAACTAAGTACCACAGACCGGCGGGTAATAAGTGGTGGCATGTAGTTGATAATGGAGGCCTCCGTGCTGAGCACGCAATCAGAGGATCCATGTGCCATGCCAAACTCTCTAGAATACCAAATTCAAAAGCCCGAGCAAAGCTCCCTACTCTCTCTAACACCCACACTAAACTAGCCTACTAAACTAAGGATACAATGGAAGTATTCTACTCTTCACTTGGAGCTTGAGTCATGAATGGAGAGGGTGGGTGTGAGCCTCTATTTATGGGGGGTTTAGATGTGGACCCATGGATCCATGTGCTTCTCACACCATCCCTTAGATCAAACCGCCATAAAATGGATGGTTATGATGTACCAAAGTTGTGCTTCTTTGCATGGAAGCATGTTGAAGGTCGGTGGGTGCACCAGGACCATCGGGTGACGGGGAGGAGGGGTTGATCGCTACCTCAAGACTTCATTTGCATCAAGGAAATCCTGGACCTCTTTGCGGGGGCCTCGGGCCTACTGACCAACCTCGACAAGTGCTTGATCTCACTAATCCGATGCTCTGAGGCAACCATCAAGGCAATTCAGGTGATCTTTCCCTATCAACTGTCTCCATTCCCGTGCAAGTACCTTGGAGCACCACTATCGGTCACCTCGTTGAAATGCTCAGATGAGCAAAAGCTAGTGGATGCTGTCATGACCAAAATCCCCACATGGAAGATGAGCATGCTGAACATGACAGGAAGACTTGCGCTTACCAAATCCACTCTGTCAGTGATCCTAGTGAATAGCCTATAAAAAAAATTCTACAACAACACTAAGACAAGTGATTAGTAAATTAGATGGCAAAGCAAATTTTGCGCTAGCACTACACTTGTGTTGCAAGCCACCTACCTAATTCTAATCTCTATGATCTCTAGTATATCACACAAGAGCTATGTCATTAATTTACACCTAGGTGAACAAGATAGCTAGAGAACTACAACTAAAGAGCTACACTAGCTACAGCTACCACAAGCACTACACAAGGTAAATACACAAAGTAATGCAGGAGAGTGGTAGAAGTGATATACTGCCGTGGCAAGTGATCAATCAATGAATACCAAAGAGTACCAAGGAGACAATGAAGACACAATCAAATTTTCTTCCGAGGTTCACTTGTTTGCTGGCAAGCTAGTCCCCATTGTGGCGATTCAATCACTTGGAGGTTCATGCGTTAATAGGCATCACACGCCTAACCTACAACCGGGTGCCGCACAACCAACACAAGATGAGGATCTACAAGCCACGCGCAATCCACTAGAGTTGCCTTTGGCGCTCCGCCGGGGAAGGCACAAGAACCCCTCACGATCACAATGATCGGAGCCGGAGACAATCACCTTCCTCCGCTCGACGATCCACCAATCACCGAGCCTTCTAGGTGTCGGCAAACACCAAGAGTAACAAGAACTCCACCAGCCCAAATCGTCCAACTAGTGCCACAAGATGCTAGAACACTAAGCAATGCACTAGAGGTTCTCCAATCTCACTCAAGATGATGAAATCAAGTGTGCAAGTGAGTGGAGTTGTGTGCTCAGCTCCCAAAGGGTGTATGTAGGTGTGGGAAGTGCCAATAGGGTGGCCAAGGCTGGCCACCACCTCTATTTATAAGCCCACAAGCAAATAGAGCCATTACCCCTTGGAGCCACTTTCTACGAGGGCACCGGACACGGCGGTGCGGTCACCGGACAGGGGTGGCGATGCCCCTCCAATGGTCATCCAATGGCTAGTTTGGGGCACCGGACAGGCGGTGGTGGCACCGACCTAGGGGTGGCAGTGACCATCTGGCCAGCCCCCCAAAAAACACTAGTCTCTGGAAAATTACAGCGGTGCACCACCCTCAGGGCGGCGGTGACCAACCTCATTTCCCCTGCTCTCTAGATAAAAGTGGCAGTGGCACTACCACACCAGTGGCGGTGACCAGGCGATGCACCGCCCTCACCGCGACGGTGTACACCAGACACGCCGATGCCACCTCGTTCTCTACTGCTGTCGGTCGAGGTCAGGTGGGCACCGCCCTAGGGGTGGCGGTGCACCGGACATGGGGTGGCGGTGCGCCCAGGGCAGCACCCCGAGCCAAGTTTTGCCTCCTTTTCTTCTCCTTTTTCACCACCTTTGCAAATGTGCTAACACTCCAAGTGTTTCACCATCACATGCAAGTGTGTTAGCATTTTCACAATTATTTTTCAACGGTTAATCACTTTCTCACCAATTGTGCACTAGGCCTAAAATGCATATGCAAGTTTTCCAACACCTAGTGGCACTAGATGATCGAGTTGTCCGATAAGAGCTCCCCTCTTAATAGTACGATCATCTATCCTAAATGTTATCACACTCTTTATAGTGTCTTGATCACCAAAAACAAAATGGCCCTATTGATATCACCTTTGCCTTGAGCCCTTTTTGTTTTTCTCTTTCTTCTTTTCAAGTCCCGAAGCTTGATTATCATCACATGTCCAAACCATCACCATGGACTTCATTTCATGTGGCCATCTCCCTCCATGAGTGCCACCTAGCTTCTTCACTTGGGTTGGTCCAACCTATCTCAAATCCACACTTAGAGCATAGGGTTAGTCCAAATAGGTTTCATCAATTAACCAAAACCAAACTAGGGTTTTCACCGGTGCAAGGTGGCCTGCCGATTGTCTGCGCACCAAAAGAACGCGAGGGCCTTGGCATTCCAGATCTGAGGATCCTCGGTTGTGCACTGTGCCTGCTCTGGGAATGGCTACGCCATACAAAGCCAGACTCCACCTAGGCCGCCCTACCATACAAAGAAGAGAAGATGCTCACGTCCATGTTTTGGGCATCAATGATAGTGCTCCTGGGCGACATTGCCTCGGCTATGTTCTGGACAGATTCATGGCTGCCCTCTAGGCCAATCTCAGAACTTGCACTGAACCTATACCGAGCCATCAGCAAACTAGGAAGGCGACGAACAGTAAAAGATGACTTGTTCCAACGTCGTTGGGTTCGTGACATCTCTAGTGAGCGCCCACCACACAGGTGCTCTACAAGTACGTCAAGCTATGGGAGATGCTCGAGGAGATCAATCTACAACCAACGACCCTAGATCATTTCATCTAGAAGTGGACAATGTCTTGTCAGTACACAACTTCTTTGGCATACCGCTCCTTCTTCATTGGGAGATCAACAATGATGGGAGCTAAGGAGCTCTAGAGGTCCAGCGTGCCACCAAAGGTGAAATTCTTCTTTTGGCTGGCAATCCACGGTAGGCTATGGACTGCAGACCATCAAAAATGCCATGGATTGTAGGACGACGACACCTGCACTCTCTATGGACAAGCACCTGAAACCACGGACCACCTATTGCTCTCCTATGTCTACGCCCGTGAAGTTTGGTGGTGCGCGCTCCACCACATACACCTCCAGCACCTAGCACCCTCGGCGGACAAAGAGCTCACCCATGGTGGTTCAGAGTCCGATCAATGGTTCTAGCAGTGATGGCGAGATCACTTGACTCCTTGGTATTCCTATGTTGGTGTAAGCCAGCTGCACGATGACGTGGTGAAGTGAGAGGAGCGCTGGACAACTATGAAGGTGAGAAAGACAAGAATTCAAATTCAAGTCTAGAGCGTGAGTGGTTGGCGCAGCCTGGAGGTGGTGACCGTGCCCACGGCGCGATCTGGAGCTAGCAGTTACACTAACATTCCTTTGTATCATGTTTTTATGGTTTCTGTGTGCGTCACAGTGTGTATTAGCTATTGGTATAAATAGATGGGTGTTTGGTGAGCATGTGAGCATTTTGGTTATGTTGTAACCGTGTTTGTAATCGAACATCTGAATAGTGAAAAGGGGCACTGTCATCCCTAGTGGTTGCCATGGTTGTTCGTCATGTTCATGTGCATTCTTATGAATTATGCTTAGCCATCATGTGATTTGCTTGTGATTGTTGATCCTATGCTATCATTTGGTATTAGATCCATCAATCACTTGCAAAAGCATCGTGTGATCAAGCCATGGGTGACCGAAGCACCGGTGGCGGTGGCGGAGGTGGTGGTGATCGGATTACGTATCCACCGCTCACCGCAACCAATTATACAAGCTAGAGCATCAGCGTTCAGGCGATCATGGAGGATCAGGGCATTTGGGAGATCATGGAACCATCGGGGGAGACGTCCGATCAGGGCACAATGAAGGTTGCGGTGGCGAAGTTGAAGGACAGGAAGGCGCGGGCGCACTTAATCCAGTGCCTGCCCGACGATCTACTAATGCAAGTCGCGATGAAGAAGACCGGGAAGGAGGTCTAGGACTTGCTCAAGGCGAGGTTTGTTAGCGAGGAGCGCATCAAGGAGGCACGGTTGCAGACATTGAAAAGCGAATTTGATGGCTTGCGGATGAAGGAGGAGGAGTCGATCGATGTGTATGCTGGGAAGCTGACGAGGATGTCAGTGAGGTATGCAAATCTAGGCGGCACGTTGGATGACGCTGCACTGGTGAAGAAGCTCTTCGACACCATGCTAGAGCGCTACATCAACGCGGTCGTCGGGATCGAACAATTCTATGATCTCAAGAAGCTCGCGTTCGATGAAGCTGTTGGGTGGTTGAAGGCATATGAGGAGCGCACCAAGCGGGGAGCGGGTGGTGCAAAGTCAGACACCGACCAGGTGCTACTGACGTAAGCTGAGTGGGAGGCTTGGCAAAAATGGATGGCAGGTGAGGCGTCCAGGTGAAAGCTCTAGTTTGGTTTTGGTGAATTGATGAAACCCTAAGTGCTAACCTAGTTTATCAAAGTGATTATGAGATAGGTGGCACATTCCAAGTGGTGAAACAAATGAAGATCATAACATGATGATGGCGATGCCATGATGATGATCACATGTTTGGACATGGAAAAGGATAAAGAAAAACAAAAGGCTCAAGGCAAAGGTATCAGTGGTAGGAGCCATTTTGTTTCGGTGATCAAGACACTTATCGAGTGTGATCACATTTAGGTTCGATAGCCGTACTATTAAAAGGGGTGAAACTTGTATCGAAATATGGTTATCAAAGTGCCACTAGATTCTCTAACTCATTGCATATGCATTTAGGATCTAGTGGAGTGCTAACACCCTTGAAAATGTTTGTGAAAATATGCTAACACATGTGCACAAGGTGATACACTTGGTGGTTGGCGCATTTGAGCAAGGGTGAAGAAGATAGAGTTGAAAAGGAGTTAGTCGTGCTGGTAACAGAGTGACCGGACGCGTCCGGTATGTGGCTCGATACTGAAATGAAGAGAGCGACCAGACGTGTCTGGTCGCCACACCGGACACATTCGGTGTGAATCAGCGAAGTCGATGTTCAGTGTAACAGTTGATCGAACACTGGGAGCGTCCGGTCCGGAGTGACCGGACGCGTTTGGTCGAACCTGGGAGCTTACTAGACTCGACAGGACGCTGAGGATCAACGTTCGGTCACTTTCTAATAGCGTGTCCAGTCGGCCTAGGGAACTCTCTGGACTCGACCGGACGCTGCGGCTCAGCATCCGGTCGTTTCTAACTCGGTGTCCGGTCGCAAGTGAATGTGTGGCAGCAACGGCTACATCAGTTTGAATTAGACACGTGGCGGTCAGGTAGCGACCGGAAGCGTCCGGTCGCCCTACCAGACACGTCCGGCATACACGACCGGTGCGTCTGGTGCACACAGACCTACGCGTCCGGTCGATGCGTAGTCAGCCCAATAATTGAGCCAATGGCTCTATTGATTGGGGGTGTCTATAAATACCGTTTGGCGGGCTCTAGCTCACTCTCTTGGCCATTTATATTGACATAGCAACCTTGTGAGCTTAGCCAAAGCCCTCCCAGCCATCTCCATCATTGATCCAACATCTTTGTGAGATTGGGAGAGAATCCAAGTGCATTGCTTGAGTGATTGCATCTAGAGCCACTTGGTATTCGTGTTTCGCTGTGGGATTCACTTGTTTCTCTTGGTGGTTGCCACCACCTAGATGGCTTGGAGCAGCGAGGATCGTCGAGCGAAGGTTGGTGATTGTCTCTGGCTCCGATCGCGGTGATTGTGAGGGGTTTTGTGCCTTCCCCGGTGGAGCGCCAAAAGGTAACTCTAGTGGATTGCTCGTGTCATTGAGTTACCTCACTTGTGGGTATGTTCTTGCGGTGTCCAAATTGCATGGACGAGGTTCATGTAACACCTCTTAGCCACTGAACCACCAAGTGCTGGTCGACACAACGGGGACTAGTGTGCCGGCAAGCACGTGAACCTCGGGAGAAAAATTGGTTGTCTCTTGCCCTTTGGTATTGTCCCAGTGATTGCTTTAGTATTCATCTTATGATTGGTTCATTCCTCTACACGGCGGTATAATCACCCTACTCACCCATTTATATTCTTGCAAACTAGTTGTAGCAAGCTCTTTAGTGTAGCTAGAATTGAGGGCTTGCTTTGTAGTTTAAGTTCATCTAGTGGAGCTCTTTAGTGTAGCAAGTGTGAGAGCTCTTTGTGAGTAGTGACATAGGAAATTGTGTGTTTAGTGATCATAGCAACTAGAATTGTTGGATAGGTGGCTTGCAACCCTTCTAGAGCTAGAGCAAGTTTGCATTTCGCTATTTGTTATACTAATCAAATTGCTCTAGTTGGCTTGTAGATTTTTGAATAGGCTATTCACCTCCCTCTATAGCCATATTAGGACCTTTCAAGTGGTATCAGAGCTGTGGTCATCATTTAGTTGAAGGCTTAACAACCTCGGTGTCAAATTATGGCTCAAGTTGTGTTCAACCATATGGGGGCAAACCACCATTCTTTGATGGCACATGCTATGATTATTGGAAGAGAAAGATGAAGATGTATCTTGGTTCAATCAATGATCAAGTATGGGATGTGACCGAGAATTACTATGCTATCATTGATCCCGACAATCTCACCAACCAAGACAAGACCAACAAGCAACGCAATACAATGTCTCTCAACGCCATATACAATGCCATTGATTCCAAGGTGTTTGAGCAAATCAAGGATTGTGATAGAGCTAATGAGGTATGGAAGAGATTGGAAGAAACATATGAGGGCACACTAGAGGTAAAGAGTGCCAAGTTGTATATTCTCAAGGACAAGTTGACAAGCTTCAAGATAAAGGAAGATGAGAGCATTCCAGAGATGTTCCATCGATTGCAAGTAATTGTCAATGATTTGAAGGCATTGGGAGAGAAGATCAAGAATGATGATGTCTCTTATCGGTTCTTAATGTGCTTACCTCCAAGATTTGAGATGTTGAGATTTCTTATCATAAGAGGAGGATTAAAGGAGACTACCCCTAACCAAGTACTAGGTGAGGTCATGACACAAGAAACATACTGTGTGGAAAGGAAAAGGGTTGACAAGGATGACAAGAAGGAATACGAAGATAAGAAGAAGAAGAGTGTAGCATTCAAGGCTAGCTCATTAGCCAAGAACAAGGGCAAGTCTAAGAAAGAATCAAGTGATGATGATCTTAGTGATATTGATGATGAAGCCATGGCTCTATTTGTGCACAAGATGGACAAATTCATGAAGAAGAAGGGCTATGGTGCAAGAAAGAGAAGAGATCACACCAAAAGCAAAGAATATGTGAGAAGATGCTACAATTGCAAGAGCCCCAATCATGTTGTAGCGGATTGTCCCTATAATAGTGACAATGATGAGGATGAGAAGAAGAAGCACAAGAAGGACAAGAAGGAGAAGAAGGAGAAAAGGATGACCTTCCAAAAGAAGAAGAAGGGTGGAGGATATGTGGTCACTTGGGATAGTGATGGCTCTTTGGATAGTGATGACTCTAGTGATGATGGCAAGAAATCTATCAAGAAAGCACTAGCAAGCATCGCCATCAACAACAAGCCCTCCATCTTCGACACTCCATCGATATGCCTCATGGCAAAGCCTACCAAGGTAAAATATGATGTGAGTGATGATGATGAATGTGAAAGTGATGCTTGTAGGAGTGATGATGAGGAGGAGGAGTACACCAAGGAGGAGCTTATGGACATGTGTGAGCAAGTGCACACTTGCTTTGAGATGAAGAGAAAGGAGTGCAAAGAATTGAACAAGAAAGTCAAATTTCTTGAGCAATCTCTTGATGATCTCAATGCCACTCATGAGAGGCTAATGGAAGCCCATGAGAAGCTTGGCAAAGCTCACTCTAAGCTTGAAAAGGCTCACTCCTCTCTCATCAAGCAAGTCAAAATGGAAGAAGCCAAGAAGAAGCAAGTGATTGTGTCTTGTGATGTGGGACTAACATGTGATATTATTGATGAATCTTTTGATAAGCCCATTGTAGTTGCTCCCACTAACACTTCTTGTAGCGCTAACACTTCAACTTCACCTTTGAGTGATGGTCTCACTTGTGATGCCTCACTAATGGTGGAAAATGAGACCCTCAAGAAGGAGGTGAATGAGCTCACTCGTGCCTTAGGCAATGCCTATGGTGGAGATGCCCGCTTGCTAAAGTGCTTGGGTAGCCAAAGGTTTTCTCTCAACAAAGAGGGATTAGGCTATACCCCTAAGAAAGGCAAGGCGGCCTTTGTCACTCCCAAAGTTAGCTTTGTGAAGGGTATGATCGGTTTTGCAATAGAAGCAAGCAAGTTGGGCATATAGAGCAATATTGTAAGTCTAACAAGAACAAGCTACCTAATGTGTCCTCAATTAGATTTGATTCCTGACATGCTTGTTAAGGGTGCCAATGGTGTGAAGGCTAAGTTCATTGGTACACCAATTATGGGCCCAAAGAAGAAGGTCATTTGGGTACCAAAGACCTTGGTAACTAACCTTCAAGGACCCAAACAAGTTTGGGTACCTAACAAGAATTGATCTTCTTTTGTAGGTCAATTATAAAGCCAAAGGAAGGCATTGGGTGCTTGATAGTGAGTGCACACAACACATGACCGGTGATCCAAGAATGTTCAATTCAATCAATGAAAATAACAGCAATGGGATTGATAGTATCACATTTGGCGACAATGGCAAAGGCAAGGTTAAAGGGCTTGGTAAGATTGCAATATCCAATGACTTGAGCATTTCCAATATGAACTTCAACCTATTGTTGGTAGCTCAATTATGTGATCTTGGTTTCAAGTGCATATTTTGTGTGGATGATGTAGAGATCATAAGTGTAGATGGTTCTAACTTGATATTCAAATGATTTAGATATGAGAATCTATACTTGGTTGATTTCAATGCTAGAGAAGCTCAATTGTCAACATGTTTGATCACTAAGTCTAGCATGGTTTGGTTATAGCATAGAAGGCTTGGTCATGTTGGAATAAAACAATTGAATAAGTTGATCAAGCATGACTTAGTTAGAGGCTTGAAAGATGTCACATTTGAGAAGGATAAGCTATGTAGTGCATGTCAAGCCAGAAAGCAAGTTGGTAACACACATGCTAAGAAGAGCATGATGAGCACATCCAAGGCATTTGAGTTAGTGCACATGGACTTGTTTGGACCAACCACATACACTAGCATTGGTGGAAACAAATACGGATTTGTGATTGTGGATGATTTCACTAGATACACATGGGTGTTCTTTCTTGTTGACAAGAGTGATGTGTTTGCAACATTCAAATCATTTGTCAAGGGCATTCACAATGAGTTTGAAACAACCATCAAGAAAATTAGAAGTGACAATGGAAGTTAGTTCAAGAATACAAGAATTGAT